CCAGTTTTCCGCAATTGACGCTAAATTAATTTAGGTGTCAAATAGGAATAACAGAATTCCACTTAACATGGTTAGATCTATGATCAGTAATGCCACATTATCTCTTTCATTTAAGAGTTTAGCGTTAATGACATCGATGCGCATTATGAACTGCATTCCATCTTAGTCTGTCTCAAGGATACCGTTGAGCTGTGTTTTTGACTAAATATTAGTTTGAATCATATGCACATATGGGGTAGTCTTGCACACGTGCGTTTGATATGGACAAGTAAGTTGGAATCAGATCATAGGCATGCTAGATTTGATAGCTACTCTAAATGTCACTAGGATGGATTATTTTATGATCTCAAAGATAAAAGTTGATTGTTTTCACTCACTGTTTATCTATAGGAGAATCATATTATGAATCACATACCTAGTAGCATAATGTTAGAGAATTTGGTATGAGTACCAGATGTACCACATGTGAACACACTTATTATAGAGATTGAGAATAATATATGAATTCCCTATTGATGCGTTAGCATCATCTACTACACAGATTCTTGCATCGGTACATTGATGTAGTGGGAGGATTATCATCCAATTCGACAGAATCATGTTTTTAGGTGAGACCATTATGGACATCCCTGTTAAACATGAGTTGGACCCAGTAAGCTACACGGAAGCGTGAACCGATGTGGATACAGATCGTTTTGGTGAGTTACTATGAAATCAGAGTTGGAATCTATGTATTCTAATAAATTCTGGGATCTTGTAGAACTTTCTAGTAGGGTGATTCCTATGGAAGGCAAGTTAATCTACAAAAAGATACCAGAAGATTTCTTAGTGAATAAATCATGAGTGTACAAGGGAATGTCATTATTTTTCTTAATTCTATATATTGATGACATCCTACTCATTTATAATGACGTGGAAGTTTTGTCATCAATTATAAGGTAGTTGTTCAATTACTTTTAAATGAAGGATTTTCAAGATGTAAGCTATATTCCTAGGATCAAGCTTTTGCAAGATCAGGTTAAAAGGAAAATAGGCTTATCTTAATAATCCTACATTGATAAAGTTTTGACCAGGTTTGGTATGCATAACTCAAAGAATGAGTTCTTGCTTTATTGATATGGATCGCTCTCTCTAGTAAGTAGTTTTTCAAGACTAGCAGAGGAGATTGAGCAAATGAGACTGGAACAATATGTTTCGGCATATGAGAGTCTCATATATGCCATGGTCTATACCAAACAGGACATCCGCTACATGGTAGGGATAGTCAGTAGAGATCAGTCCAATACTGGACTTGACAACTGGTCTATTGTGAAAAATATCATTAAGTACCTAAGGAGAATCAATGATATCATACCCATTTATGGATGTGATGATATGGTCCTAGTCAGGTATGCTAGTTCTGATTTTCAATCAGAAGTAGATATTATAAGGTTCATGACTTAGTGTATGTTCACTTAATGGAAGGGAAATCAGTTGGTAGATTGTCAAACAGATTTCAACTGTTGACTCAAACCTGCAGGTGGAACATATTGCAGCCTTAAAGGTGGCAATATAAGCCTATTGGTTTGATCTCACTGATTTAGAGGTTATGGAGCATACTAGCCTGCCTATCGAGCTATATTGTGACAATAGTGCAGAAGTAGTCCAAACCAATGACACAAGGTTCCATAGAGGAACAAGATACACTGAGAGGAAGTATCATGTTCGACATGATATTGTCCGGCAAGAAAATGCACTTGTAGTTAAAACATTGCATTGGAACACAACTTTGTTGATCCATTATCAAAGGTGTGATTGATCAATAATTTTGATCATCATCTGGATAACATTGAAGTTAGGTGCAATTTGAATTGGCTATGAGGGCAAGTGGGAGCTGTTGGGATTTATATGCCCTGGCATAGCAAATTCCTATCTGGATTGTATTGACATATGTTCCTGACATATCTGAAATATTTATGATTTATATAATTGGTGAATTCAATGTATTATGTTTCAATTCACTATGAAATTGATAGTGTCTAGTTAATTACAAGAAATATTTATATATATGTATGTGATGACAATCAATGCATGATATATAAATAGTAATTATAAATTGTTCATAGTCGGTAATTATGGATGGACTCATAATTAATTAAGACTTGAACTGGATCCGCGTTAGGTTGAGATATATTGCGAGAGCCGTCGTATGCAATTACTCCCTATCACCGTCATGGCATTTGACTCTTAAGCATGAAAAAAGTATAGACTCTTTTATTAATTAATAATTACTTTGATTTGTTCGGCGGATTCTTCGGGATCCTTAGACCGACACTTTGGGTAGTTATGTAATTAATAGTTAGAGGGTTATATTTTCAATATTTGCATCATTGCTACTTGTATTTATTTTGTATTGATTATGGTTGATCACAAAGTAAATTCGAAGGCCTTCGTGTGTTTTTAGACAAAATGATTTATTATATATTTATTTATTTAAATTATTATTTTTGTCAAACAAATGTTTTATTGTGATCGAGCCAGAAATAATCAAAGGTACCAAAATAAATATATTAATTAAGTAGTCGGATTGATGGCTATATTTATCCGATAACTAATTATGCATAGAGGGGTCAAAGTGCAATATTGACTTAGAGGTTATTTATTATTTAATTGGAGTTCAATTAATTTCTTTTAGTGGAGTAGAAATTAATTTATGAATTAATTGAATTGGGTCCATGGACCGGGCCAATTATTAATTCATTGTAGCCAATAAAATAATAGGCCCAATGGATTCTCACTCATAGCCCAACTTGATATTGGAATCATATTAGATTTGAGACATATGAATTAGAGATGGAGAAGGATTTGTTGTTTCCTTTTCTTTATTTTTATGTTGCCTATAAATATACATGGTCTATGTATATTTTAGGGGGTGATTTTTATGAGAAGGAAAAAGGAATAAATTTTCTCTCTCTAGAAAATTAGGGTTTATGTTCTCATCTAATGGAGGCTCCCACAAGCCTAGTTTTCCAAGGTCATTCATGGAGGCATATGAGTGATTCCTAAAGGCAAAAGAATTACCAAGAAGATGGAGATCCATGGAAAAGGTGTCTAGCAAAAGGGATCTACAATAAGTGAGAACATTCACTTTAGAGGAGAGATCTAAGGTTTACTCAAACCTTGATGTAAGTATTCAATCTTTTAATTGAATGATACATCATGTTTTATTTTTGCATAAAACTTGTCTCTAAGTGATGAATCAAGATCTATGAATTTAAATCCCTAGAAAAGTTTTTAAAACTAGCACGTTTCCCAACACTACCACCACCATATATATATATATATATATATATATATATATATATATAATTTTTGGACACACCACCACCATATATTACACACCGCACTAAGACAGTAATACACACAAGAGAGAGAAAGAGGAGAGAGAAAGAGATAAAACTGGGCCTACCTCAGACCCCAAATTGGTTTGCAACGTGTCGAGAGGAGAGTGGAGTGCTTATCAAACGTGTCAATTTCTCAAAGATAGAGAGGTTTGTGCAATCCTCATTGATCGTTATAAATGGACAAAAAAAAAACCCCCACAGTCGGATTGATCAACTTTGAAAACGTCAGCTGATGTTTTGGAGAAGTAGCATCTATTTTTTGGCCCACCGTCGACCTCAATAATTCAATAGAAAATTCATTGTGATTAATTAATTATAAACAAAATAAAATAAAATAAAATAAAATAAAAGGAGAGAGAGAGAGAGAGAGAGAGAGAGAGAAGGTAATGGAAGAGTGTCGAGTCACGCAGCCTTTAAGATTCCACACGGCTCTTGCCTCCCACTTGTGTGCGTGTATTGCGTGCGTTTACTGTGTGAGAGAAATAGTGGGAGCATCCGGTTGATGGATGTCGTTGTTCTAGGTTGGCTTACGTGTCTCCAAAGCTTTTGCATGATGCGAACTTCCAAGGCCATGACCACCACGAAAAATTTACATATTTTCAAATTAGTGTTGTTTTCGTAGTTAAATTGGGTAGATTTTTAAGTTCACTCTGATGCAACACGTTTGTCAGATACTAACTTGGAAGAACTACCCAATGCGTCTTACCACTTTTTCTTTTTCTTTTATATATAGATATATATATATATATATATATATATATTTATTGGGTTATATATAAAATAAAACCCCTTTTACCATGTACGTCCATATGCCTGTATTAAAATCATTTTCTGTACTACAGCATATCTGTGTCCCAACGGGTGAAGCAACATATCCGTCCCAACAGGCAAAGAGAATTAGCGACAAATATGTTACATGCATCTCACTACTTTTCTAATCACTTTCCCAATATTTTCCTCTCAATTTTTTTTTTAATCCTTGACCTTTGAAATTGATATTCAAGTACATTCATTGCAAATTTGAAATTTACCATTAAAATAGAAATTTTCAAAATGACCTGATTAATAAAACGCCAACTTCCAAAAAACCCAAGAGTAGAAGCATAGACGGTCAAAAATCAACTACAGAACCAAGTTTTCAAGGGACGATTAGCTTTAACGATTACTAATTCACAATCCTCACTATTGTCCATCACAAAGCACATACAATAAAAACAGGTAAATCACATGAAACAGAATTATAACAACTTTAGGAAAATAGAATCTTTTTAACAAACATGACTTCTGTACATGATATCATCATGCTACTGCATTATTTCTTCCCTTTCCCCACAACCAAACAACCCCATTATGTGACCAAACTTATGTACATGCATACATCATTAGATGACTAGAAAGAGGTTATCTTGTTTTCTCTCCCCTTTGTCATCCTTATTGACTGCAAACGAAACTATGAAGAGAGTACTAAATAAACATGAACTTTATACCCTAAAAAAGCTAATCAAAACAGAGCCTTTTCAGTATATTTACACTAAAAACTAGCCTATATATATATATACACATGTTTTCATATATATCATTTTTCCCATGTTACTCAGCTTGTACTAGTCTATTTCATTTTATTTTTGTGTTTTTTTTTTTTTTTTCTTCCTTCCATTATATAACTTTAAGTTCTGTTCTTATACCTTCTTGATCATCACTTCCCTATTTTCGGACCGATCATCAGAATGGGGCTCGGTGGGGAATGCCCTTCCTCCTCCTAGAATTCCGGTGGTTGAAGATGGGTGGCGTGGCGGGGGAAATGTTGTTCATGGTCTCATCTCCAGAAGTAGAACACGAGGAGCCAGCATAATTGGGACCATCCACAAATGCGAAAATAGGGCCATTGATTAGACGATTGAAAACATGAGGCCTGCACATCTTCTTTGGGGTTGAGGACTCATCGGATTCAAAGCCACCTTGAAATGTGTCTCGATTGTGCTTCATCCTTACTGTGAAGGTGAGCTCCGGATCACCACGCTTCATACCCCCAAGCTGCAACCAAAGAAGAGAAAGAGCATTTTAGACTTTTAGTTGGAGGACTAAAACAAGCAATCTACAATCAAAGGAATGCAAAACAGAGCATTAGTAATAAATAAACAAAAGAAAACATCCAATGGCACCAAACAATCCCAATTTGAGCAAAATAAAATATAACTACATTTATTAGCCCCAATAGTTAGATGAAACAAAATGTATTAGCAGGAATTAAGAAACAAAATGTATTAGTAGGAATTAAGAAACAAAAGAAAATATCCAAATTATTGCAAAATCAAATGTTGTTTTAAGTTCTTAGCCCCAAATTTAACATTTCTTGGAACAGAATAATAATACAAACCCAACAAATTTAAGACTTCTTGCAAGCTATAGATCAATTTCAATAGAACAATGTCTAGTAAGGCATGGCCTAAATATAAATTCAATCAAACAGATATCACTTCTGGAGTAGAAACTCATGTACTCAAAACTTGTTACCTCATAAACCCATTCACATGTAATGCTTTATTAATTAATTATACATATGAAAGGAAAAAAATAAATAAATAAATAAATAAAATTCAAGAGGGATTAGAAGAAAAATCACCTTGCAACCAAGAGAACAGAACCTGAACGAGTCAAGAAGGCTTCGGCAACAAATCTCACAAGTGTTTGTAACTCCTTTTCCAGGCCTTGGCTGTGGCCTCTCGTTCAAGAACACAATCTTCGCGCTGTTGATAACATACGTCTGTATACAAGAGATGTCAATGTACTTCTGAATCTCATTCACTCTCACCACGTTATGGTACGAGGACCGCCTTATCTACAAGTACACAATCACAACCCCACCAATACAATACATATAAAAATGTTACCAACCATAAGTGTTAAATTAGATAGGAAAAGATGAAGACAACTCACTAACCTGAACAACTCGATGATCCTTGTGACGGATCAAACAGTAAGAACAGAGAGCATTTCCCATACAATCCAAACAGTACATGTTGCATTCGCTTTTATTGGAATCCCCATGAACAAAGCACGGAATGAAGTAGTTGGCTCTAAGCATTGGTTTCAACCATGGAGGATCCATATCTTCATTTCCCATTCGAACAATCGGACTCACCTAATTAAATTTATTTATTTATTTATTTTAAAAAAAAAAAAAAAAAACCTTTTAACCCCCAGCATAGACAACAGAATCACACAAACAAGAAAACAGAGTTTAGAGTGAAATTAATACTATACCATGACTTTTTGTTGTTGATTGCCCTCAAACGCCCAATCTTTCTGCTGTTGATTTTGAAAATGAAACCTGTGAGACCCAGATGATATTACACCTATAGATTGAAGAAAACAAACCCACATTTAGTATTCTTCTGAAACAAATCAGAAAACATCTAGTCAAACCAGCCAAAAGAGATAGAAACCCAATTGTTTCACTTAAGATGGAGAGAACAACAATAGATAAGAGATGATTGATGGGTCTAACCTTCAAAGTCTCTATCTATGAAATGAATAGTTTCAAGATTGATCATATGAGTGTATGTAGTGTACCTTTGTGAGAATGAGAGGCAGGCGGTGAAGACGAAAAGACCCAGAAGGGTAAGGATTGAATGAAATTTATAAGGCGGTCACACGGTGACTTGTGTATGTATGTATATGTATCATCATTATTTTCTCTTAATTATATATATATATATTAATTACTAAATAAATATAAGGAAAACGTGCCCACGTGGATTCTACAATAGGCAAAATTTATTATCAACGGATATGAATGGGACACAGCGAAGACTCTTAGATTCTTCTCCTTTATGTCAGTTCTTTCGTTCTCCACCGTCCGATTCGAAACACCTAAACAATTCTGAGAAGAACACCATTAAGACTTGCTTCCCAAGAATCGATGTTTCAATTGAAATCAAACACCTCACGTGTCTTCGTGGCAACCCTAGCCGTCACTCACTGTCTTGTTTCTTCTACTCACACTCGAATTAAATAGATAATATAATAATAATGAGAAAAATATACCAACTTGTCCTTGGTTTCTCCACGTCAACCATATTAGTAAACCTTTCTTATCGGTTGGTGCCTTGGTGGTTCTTGTTTTGAAAATATCATATGGAATCGTATTTATTGATTTTAAAAGAATAATTTTTATTATATTTAAATTTTATTAGTAGTGAATAAATTATTAAATTTATGGTTATAGTAATATAATGATTTATTTATTTATAGATTTAATGTAACAAGGTTAAATTAATAATGTTACAAAAATAAAAAATAAAAATTGACTTTTTAAATATGGAACAATAGAAAAAGGTTGACAGTTATTTTAAATTAGATCCAAGTACAGGAATAAGAAATTATTCTTGATAGAAAGCACAAAAGGGAGGAGAGCATTCTCTATCCTTATGTGTGTATTTATTGATTTTAAAAGACTAATTTTTATTATTTTTATATTTTATTAATAGTGAATGAATTATTAATTTATGATTACATTAATATAATAATTTATTTTTTATAGATTTAATGTAAGAAGGTTAAATTAGTAATGTTATAAAAAATATATATATATTGACTTTTTAAATATGGAACAATAGAAAAAGGTGGACACTTATTTTAAATTAGATCCGAGAAGCATAGGAATAAGAAATTATTCTTGATAGAAAGCAGGTAAGGGAGGAGAGCATTCTCAATCCTTATGTGCAAGGAAAGTTCGGGATAAGGGAATTATGGATAGAATCGACAGATGTGTTCTTGGCTTACTGTTTTTTTTCAGAAAATTAAATTTTAGTGACTACATTAAACAAAATTGTTTTAGAGTGATAGGGACAAAGTCGGAAATTAAATTTAGGGGCACAATGTAAAAAAAAATTAAAAAATTCAAATAGTCACTGCAATAAATATAAATTATATAAATTAAGAGATAAAGAAGAAAAATTACTCAAAATAATATGTCAATTAATGAGTAATTTAAGAAAAATAAATAGTTAACAAAAAATTTAAAAAAGAAAGAAAAATGAGAGAATTTTGAAAAGGAAAAAAAATTGGAGTTTGATTCAAAAAGAAAAATTTGACTTTTTTTTTTAAAGAAAATTAAACGAATTTAAGAGTAAAAAAGAGAATAAATACAAAATTTAAGAGATAATTTTAGAAAAAAAAAAAAATTTTTGGGGGGCATTATATGAATTTTTTTCATAGATACATATAAAAATTTATAAATTTAATATATGTATTATAGTAAGCACGCCAGACTAGGGGGCACGTGTCCCTGAGTATACACTAACTCGACCTCTAACAGTGACCATAAAGATAAGAAAAGATAAATAGTAATCAAATCTAAAACTTAAATATGGATAAGTGACTATTAGATGGAATTGTTACATAAATATTCTCTCATACCATGAAAAAAAAAATCATATATATATATATATATATATATATATATATATATATATTCATAAGCAGGTAGTGTGTTCGACTTATGAGGAAAAAAAAAATCATATATATATATATATATATATATTTTCATAAGTAGGTAGTGTGTTCGACTCAAAGATTTGGCTAATAGTGCAAAAAGGATCAATGAAGGCATACCCTCAAATTACAAAACCAAACAAAAAAAAAAAAAGTAGTACATTAAAAAATTTGAGCCAGGCTTCATGCTCCTACTACAAAAGATACATAACTTCCTACAATCTAAGACCATAGCATCTATCACTTGAAACCAAGTGCTTCTAACAACCTTCACAACAGACCTACCTGTCCCCTGATGATATCTCATATTTCTCTCACCTACGGAAGGAGCTAGAAATTTGAAGTTGGGGCTAGGTTTATATTATGTAATTAAATTTTAAAAAATATATACATTAATTATAAAAATTCTTAATTTTGAACTCTTAAAAATATAATTAAAAGAGTCTAAATTGAAAAATTACTAAATTTTAAAAAGACACAAACTAAATTTATTTTCAAATGGTCAATATATAAATGTTTTGAAAAAAAATTGGGGGTCAATTGATATTTTTAATGAATTTTAGGGACAAAACCTATAAAGTAATTAATATTTAGAGGTATAAATAAAAAATTAAAAAAGTTTGGGAGGCCATGGCCCTGGCCCACGCCGCCCACCCCTAGCTCCGCCCCTACTCTCACCCACACATAGGGCCAATAAAACTGCAATCAAAACCAGTTTTGCGAGTTTATGTCTACAATTTTAAGATAAAAAGATGCTAAAGAATTTACTCTCTCCACTATAACGAGCAGTGATGACCACCACCGTAAATGACACACGCTCGTGTGTATTGTACAAATGGGTAGGCTAGTGGTGGTGCAATTTGTTGCTGGTGGAATCATCGGTTTGGTGGTACTGGAAGTACCTATTGATCAAACAATCATCAAATGTGTTTGTTTTCGTGTTGTTAAGTAAATAGAGAGTGCCTTACAGTCAAGTATGGAGAGTAAAGATGATATGTCACAATGTTGTGTTTGTTTTCCATGAATATGATCTAATGTTTCCGGCCTTCAAAGTTTGTGTAAGATTTTCTAAATAATAATAAAAAAAAAAGAAACTATGTTTCAACAGAATATATTTCCATGGAAAAAAAAAAATGCAATCTCACAATATTGAGAAAATGGAGTTTTTTTTGTTGACTATTGAATGGCAATGGCTTGTCCATGGCTGAAATTGAATCCATTCTTGAGTGTGAGGAGGTAGAGAGAGCGATAAAAAGGTGAATGAGAGAAAGAGGCCACGTTTTTTTAGATAAACGATGGTGGGACAAAATTATCCTTGAAAAGGTCACCATTTATCATTTAAGTTTTAAATTTGGTAACAAATTGTTACTTCTTCTTCTTCCCTTCTTTTTTTTTTTTTCAAAATTGGATAGAAGAAATGAGAGATTTAAGAGAACAATAATTATAATAATTATAATATATACATATTATTATTTTTAAAATTTCCTAAATTATCAATTACTGAAAGTAATTAGGCATTCCAGTTATAAAATGTAAATTTTTAGGGTTAAATACATTGACCTCCCCAAATGTTTGACTTAATTACATCTATTGAAAGTTGTCAAATTTTTTGCCATGACTTCCCCTAATGAGTACACAACTTGTCCTTGATTTCACGACAACCATAGTAGTAATCCATTTATTATATTAGCTTTCTTATCATTTGGTGGTTCTTGTTTTGGAAAAGGCCCTTCACTCTGAAGGTTGCTCTCCAATCTATATGGATTTCCTAGTCCTCACCTTCATCGTTCGAGAATGAATATATCACCATTAATATCACTCTAAACGACATTAAGAATGGCATTAAATGGTGTCAAAATAGTTTATTGGGCAAATTCTTAACTGAAAAAAGGAAAAAGTTAAAGTGGAATTGTTTGGCATGTAAAAAGCGGTCGGTTCCGATAGAACCGGATGAGCGTGCCAGGAATTACAGTAGTTTTGAAGAGAGATTCAAACAATATTCCAAAAGGAAGATTGCGAGACCAGGCGACTGTGAAGAGGTGTAGAATGAACACCTCTGGGTTCTTTTTACCTTTGATAAAGGACTTCGGGATAATTAACTGGTTAGGAAGAACTACGTTACTTATGAAAGTAAAGGAATTGATTGTAAAATTAACTAATGAAAAGTAAAGTACAGGACTAAGACTAATCATATTGAAAATGTATTACAATGAAAAGTAATATTGTATTGAAATGCTGTGTTTGGCGTTTAGCAGGCCTATTACGTTATAACATAATGACCTATTTATAGAATGAAAATATAATCAGTTACAATAGCAGTTCCGAGCAGTTCCATTGATGCCTCCAAATGCTTCCAAGTGTCCAAGCCATGCAATCGTGCCTTTGATGCTTCTACTTCCACGTTCCAAACATATAATCGTGCCTCTGATTCCCCTGGAACTTCACGTTCCAATCATGTAATTGTACTTTTGATTCCTCTGGAACATCACGTTCCAATCATGTAATCGTGCCTTTGATGCCGTTATCTCCCAAACAAATTGCATGATTTCTTTTGTCTGAGCAATGACTATTACTCCTTTTTTCAGGATGGTGGTAGTAGTGGCCCACGTTAAAACAGTTAGAGTTTTGTTGTATTGTGACTTTTGAAGAAAACCAACTTCCACATTTTAGGAACTCTAATTTCCACGTCTAGAACTCCAATAATTGACACGTTCCTTTGACCAAGTCATATCCCTTACGTGGCTTCTCTTAGTGGTGGACTCTTAATAACTTTCCAACTCTCAAAGTCCTTGAAATTGGTCTTGACCTAAACTCCTTTCATGTGTCAGAAATTGGCTTGACCCAAAACTCCTTCCACGTGTCTGCTTTTCCATGGGCGAAAATAAGGGTGTAAACTGTAATGACCCGGTCATTTACTCCCTTTTTCATTTTCAGCAAGTTTCTTTTTTTTTTTCATTTTTTTTTTTCATTTTTTGTTTTTTTCCCGAGTTCGATTTTCTAGGTGTAAACTCACTTTTTGAGCTCGGATTTTTTCCCGGCTTTGCATGCATCCATGATATTTAAATTCTATACTTTGTGTATTTTTGCATTTCTAGAAAATCATGTTTAAATATTTACTTTTACGTAAAGGGTATGGATGCAGAGTTTCTTCGAAAACATTATTTATTTTTGGGGTTTTT